TACACTACATTCAGTCATCCACCCATTCACACACACATTCACACACTGGCAATGGCAAGCTACGTTGTAGCCACAGCTGCCCTGGGGCGCACTGACAGAGGCGAGGCTGCTGGACACTGGCGCCACCGGGCCCTCTGGCCACCACCAGTAGGCAAACATGGGGTTAGTATCTTGCCCAAGGATATTTGGCATGCAGCCAGGAGGCAGCGTGGGATTGAACCACCGATCTTCTGATTAGTGGCTGACCTGCTCTGCCACCTGAGCTACAGCCACCCCAAATACTCAATTTTGCTCTACATGGGCCTGATATCCACTTACGGGGACATTATACTGCTACTGTTCTATCAACATTTTAAACAAATATCCTCATTTGTTTAAAATCTTATTTTTCATAAAAACAAAAATAAGGTAAAAAAAAAATAAATCTGGTAATTCTTTGTTTTTGCATTCATCGGGCCCCAATATGCCCAAATATCAAAGAGAAATTAAAAATGCATGCTGGGGAAGAGTTTGGGTCTTAGGAGGTTAAAGATCCTCATTTTTGGCAAACTTCCTAAAAGGTTCCAAAAGCTGAACTGTGATCTTTGGTCCTACACAATAAAATGACAAAATCTTAGTATCAGAGGAGACTTTTACAGTCTGAGATTTTGTTATGTGTTTGCTCTAGTCCTTGTCTGGTTCCATATGTGACTTCCACCTGGTTTAGAGTCCTTGCACCATGACATCAGCAGGAAGTTCAGAGCTCTCTCCTCTTTCTCAGGGTCCATTTCCTGGGTCACAGCCACACCAACCGACGTGGTAAAGAGTCGAATGCAGGCTGATGCTCAGCTGCAGAGGAAGTACAAGGGAATTTTACACTGCATCATCCACAGCTACAAGACAGAGGGAGTACAGGTGAGTAATGACTTCAACCAGCCAAAACTATAAGAACACTGTTTTTAAGCACCTCGATCTGGCTCCACACAAACAGCAAAAACACCATGCAAACTCAGTTACCCGCTGTGTTTGGACACTTAGCTGTGTCCATGTGAGCTTTGTATCTGAGAATCCAGCAGAGCACACAAGTTACCGCAGCTTGAACACTGAAGCTTCTGCCTGAAGAATTCAACCAAGATGCACAAAGTTTGTCCATCAGACACACTGTAGTTTCTCTGATGGACAAACATTCATTCAGGGCTTCCTGAATGAATGTTGTGTGTGCTTGGGTCAACATGTTGTCCCTGAAATTGTATGAATACCTATTTAAAAAAAAGAAAAAGAAAGAAATTTTACAAACATCTTACCAAACTGAGCCTCGATGACACGCCTCCACATGGGTAAGTCATGACACTCTCTGGGCATCAATGGGCCATATAGCTGCTACAGACATCTGTCCAATAAGCAGACTGAATGCTCTCACATGTTTGAAGTTCACTTTTTGGTTCCTCAAATGTTTCTGCTGAAAATATTTAAATTACAAGAAAAACATTCTCACCAGATACTTGGCATGAAACCTCTTCCCCAGCGAGGCTTAAAAGGCCTGTTACACCTGCCTTTGTCACCGCCAACACCAAAAGTGATGTCAGAGATGCTGCTGAAAGTTGCGCTTTGGTGTTTCCACTCATCCTGCACCTCCAGAGATTTCTAGACCCTAACATGGACAACAACAAGAATTATATTTTAGGATTAAAAATATCATTTCCATGAAAGAGGCCGTTCATACTGCTGATAGTTGCAGTAATTATCAGTATTCTTAGTTTAGTCCAGCTGTGGCAACAAACCTTACTTTGGGGGGTGGTCTAATAATTTTGCTAAGACCTGCACAGGATGAAAAAGCAAAACTCCTCGTCGTAAAAAAATATCCTCTTATAAAATAAAACGGGCTACATGCTGCAGAAAACCTTATGTGGGGTTATGTCAGGTCAGCATTTGCCACACGGCTGGTGTCCTGGCCTGAGACGAGCAAATGTTGCATCTGTGTGTCCGACCCATGCTGTTCATAATGTCAAAGGTTGAAAACTGTAGACAAGCTATCGCAGTGTCCAGAAATCAGGAGGGGTCAGGTTCTGAGAAAGTAAACTGGACTGTTGATGTGAACAGAGGCTAGTGAGTTGGGTTACTACAGGCCAGCGTCCCCAAAGCAAAATCAACGTAACACTGCGGTCTGTGGGCTGTGTTCACCTTCACTCGTGTTTCCTGTCAGCACGGCACCAAAGATCTGGAATGATAACAGATGTGTGTAGACAGTTTAACATATTTAATTCCAACTTTCTCTTTTTTTTAATGTTCAGGTGTTCTTCAGGGGAGCATCAGTGAACGCCATCCGAGGCTTCCCGATGAGCTCCACCATGTTCCTGACCTATGAACTCTCTCTGCGGTTCTTCAGGGGTCTTTAGGACACATTTTACTAATTAAAGGAGTCACACTGAGTTACTTGGAAAAATGAGCACAAAGCAAATAGAGCCCAATGTCTCTGAGACGAGACACCGGTGACAGTGTAAGTCATCTGATCAAACCTTTAGCTCACAGTCACACAGACAGTTTTATTACACCGGTGGCCAGCGATGTTACGCAATGCTGCTAGAGTTATTCAGAGATTAAAGATTTTAGTGTTGGTGCTGCAGAGTGATTGTGTGGAACTATTTTTAGTTTTCTAAATTGGATCAGTTTCAGGTGAATTGCAATGATTGGTCAAATCAAAAATCAGTATCAAAAAGTAATCTTGTTATGTGTAGTATAATAGTTGAATGACATGTTGATGTCAGAATTTTACTGAAGTTGAATTTTTCTTTGCTGCATATTTACCAAAGAACTCTGTGTGTTCCTCCGAGGTTTGTTTTTGGGGCAAGTCTGAACTTCCTGTGAAAAAGACGGTCAGTATGGAGGTGATGTGCACAGTAATATTGTGTTAATACACAGTAGCGCACTGTTAGCATGTGATTGGTGATCTGTAGGGAAAAGAAAGGAAGTCCGGTGATGAGGAGTAAAACTGACATAGATGTCATGTGTAGTCATCAGTGCGTAATGTTTCATACTGAATACGATCAGCTAAAAGATTTTTAAACAGATCTCATGTATAACTTAGCTATTTCCCTTTGTAACCTCCACATGTAGAAGTGTTTATCTGGCCTTTATGTGCTGCACTTTATCTCGGAGAGATAAGCTCAGTTGACCAAGTCAATGTGAAAAGATGAGTTTGACATTTTCAATACAAGCAGAGGGTCAACATATTCTGTTACCTCTTAGTTGTAGGTTTACTTTATGAACTGGATGTACCTTACATATATTCAAAATGATAAAACGCATCATTTTAATGAGTTTTAGTTTTAGTTTTTAGTTCTGTACTTTAAAATCCCGTTTATGTTGAAAATGGCACATCCACAGAGTCATAACATGAAATGTAGACTTCCATGCGGACTGTATGTGTGTTGCACACTAACGTCCTCTTGTACATTTGTTTGTGTGTTTCTTATATTAAGAAAAGTGAGTTTTACAAGTTTATAATTAAACCTCCTGCTAACAAACTTTCCACAGACTGCAGTTAAAAGCTTTGGAGTTTCGCTCTGAAGTCAGATTAAAATTATAACAGGATTGATTGTTTTTTTAAAACCCTGACATGTAAATATGTGTAAATATGTTCGCTGCCATTCCACATGACAGGGAGCCAGAAATTTCTTATTGTACATAAATAAAAGCTTTTAATCGCACTGCTCTCCTTTTCTGAATCGGCTCTTCTCAGAATAATGTGACATTCATGTGACTTGTCATGTGACAACTCGTCTACTTAGCGATAATGGCCTGCTGTCAGATAAACACTCCGTGATGTCGACACGTGCTACGAGAGCTGATTTTCGTGTCATATCTGAGGCCTAAAGCGAAGGCTCTGGCTTCAGTAGAATTGCAGACAGGCGTTGACCTTCTGCCTGCAGTCAGCTGATAAGAACCTGGAGCTCTGAAGTCACTCTCATAACTACAGTGAAAGCTGTTGGTTATTTTCACCTGAACTTCCCTCTGAGGGCTCACAGCACCCACTAGAGGGCAGCATCTAGCAACACAACTCAATGAAGCTGCTATTCGCACAAATCTTCCCACGGTGCACTGAGTGTTTCTTCTTTTTAATCTGTGGCTCTCTTCCATAGCGTGCCTTTGCCCCATCCCTGATACTGGGACTGGTTTCTTTCTGCTAAAAACAGTTTTGCCTTTCTGCTGTCATCAAAGGCTGATTGGTCGAGTTTTCTTTGTATTACTAACTTGCAGTATAAAGCGCTTTGAGGCAACTGTTGTTGTGATTTGGCGCTGTATAAAAAATATAAAATGAATCAATTAAATTGAAACTCTTTTGTCAATTTGTAATAGTAAGAAGGCTTATTTTTAGTCATTTACACATTTTTCATATAACAGTTTAATAATGAACACTGTTAATATAAATCGTTCTTCTTTGGAACTTCAAGCAGAGTTTGTATTACAGCAGGTCCTCCTTAAGAAAAAGAAACACCGCCTAATAATGAAAACAGCTGCGTGTTGGTATCATTTAGGGTGGTACATCGCCACATTGTGGAATAAACTGTAATCAACCTTTGTAAATACTGCATATCCGAGCAAATACTGCATTAACGTTATACTGCAAGAACTCTGCAAGTATAACTATTTTTTTTTTATATAATTATTATTATGGAAAATCTTCTGGTTTGCAGATAAACAATACTGTGCACAGTTTATGGTTTTTGACTTGACCAGTAATATTCATGCAGTGTTGCTTTGATTGTGGCACAGATGCTCATGTATGTAGTTAAAAAAAAAGAGGAAAGAAACTCTGTTATTATATTTGTCTCACTTTAAGCAATAATGGGTTCTTAAATTCTTGCTTTGATCTGGCTGACGGGCAGTGGGGGTAGCAAGAGAATTTTAATAGGGGCTGGTAGCCTGAGATTATTACTGATACAGCACAGAGACACAGAAAATAAATCTGTAATATTATTTAAAACATAAAAACAGATTTTCCTTTAATGTGGACTCAGGTCTGTCAGGATACAGCACTTAGATGTTTTGGCTGTTGGTGTTAGTGTGGCGGCAGACACAAAGTTCAAGGAGAAGAGACGATTTGTTCGCTTGGCTGACAAATAAAACCGGTGAAACTATGAGACACACTTTGACTTATTGTGGCTGCAAAATTTAAAATTTTGTGGGTTTTTTTTATCCTTCCCTCTTTGTAATTTCTGCCTTCATTTTTAATGCACGTCTCACGGAGTTTAATGCACGGAGTTTGCTGTGGACACTGAGAAGAATAGTAGCACGTGGAACAAAAGGAAAACATTTCTACACTGTGAAGTGTTTGGTCAAACTGAGGCACTCGGTATAAACTGTAGGCAAAAAGTTTCATTTTTAAAGTTATGAACAAACTTTGATGGAGTGACATGAAGCACAGTAAAGTAGCTCTTTTTTTAAAAAAATGTTTTTGTGGATGAATTTCTTGGCCCATTTAAAAATCTTGCCTATCCTGCCCACTCCAGCTTAGCAGGGGGCAGTATTACTCCTACATGCTTAAAAGAATAAAAGAAGAAGAGTCGTAGCAAGCCTGCAGTGACGTCATCGCTTCCTGGTTATTATTTACTTTCATTTTATGAATTTGTGAATCTGCAGACGATTGTCTCCGTGTAGAGGTGAGTAAGGCATGAGGTTCACTGCTGGGCTCTGACTCTTATTTGCTTCACTCAGAGCTGTGAGTTTGTGACACTCAGAATGAGGAGAAATCTTTTTTTTTTCCTGCAGGTTTCTGTGCTTCAGCTGACTCTGTGATGTCGCTGTGTGAGAACAAAGTGGAGCTTCCTCCTCCCTCTAAAGCCACTCTGTGTGGAGACGAGATCACCAAAGCTCAGAGGTCAGATGACTTTCTTTACCGCCAGGGACTCTTCTGCATGCTACAGCTCTGCATTTAAATCACTGCACCATCATTTTTATTCACATGTAAAACTGTGTGTGTGAAGCCCAGAGAAGCAGCACAGACCCCACACAGCCCACCGTGAACCTGAACCCAGCTGTATGTCCGTGATGAGCGACCAGTCAAATGAGCGATATATTGATTTCAAACAAGGAGCAGAGGAAACAAAGTGAGTTTTTGTCAGCATTAAAACTTAACAGTTACGCTGAATATGTGACCTTTGAAACATTTATCAATATTTTATCAGGATACGTCAGCGAAAACAATCTCCTAAACCTGAACTCGTCTGTGTGTCCACGATGAGCAGCAGCTCAAATGAGCGATATATTGATTTCAAACAAGGACCAGTGGAAACAAGGTGAGTTGTTGTCAGACATGTAACATATATGCTAAAAATTGTTTGCCCCTTTTTTTGCATATTTACCAGTGCCACACAAATCTTAATATTAGACAAAAACAAACTGAGAAGATACAAAATACAGTTTTTCATTTAAATTTATTAAGGCCAAAAATCTATCAAATCTAACTGCCCTTTGTGGAAAAAATACTTTCTCCTAAACCTAATAACTGGTTGTGCCACCCTTGGCAGCGTAGACTGCAGTCAAGTGTGTGCCAGAAACATGTAGATTTTACAAAGAAAAGGAGGCAAATACTTTTCAAACCACTGTATTTATTTATTATATTATTTTAATCTGTAACAGTTAAGCTGAATTTGTGACCTATGATACATTTCCTATTGTTGTATCAGGGGTCATCAGATTCCCGATGCTTCTAACCCCGGATCCAGCTGTGTGTCAATGATGAGCGACCAGTCCAATGAGCGACACATTGACTTCAAACAAGGATCACAGGACACAAAGTGAGTTGTTGTCAGCATTAAAACTTAACAATTTATTCTCTATTAAAATGTTTTACAGTTAAGCTGAATGTGTGACCTTTGATACATTTACCGATATTTTATCAGGAAACATAGGAGAAAAAAATCTCCTAAACCTAAACCCGTCTGTGTGTCCACGATGAGCAGCAGCTCAAATGAGCGATATATTGATTTCAGCCGAGATACAGAGAACTGTCAGAACCTGCCTGCTAATGAAGGGTAAGGATGGAAAGCTACCAGAAATATTTAACTGGACTTTAGCAAATAAAATATTTTAACCACGAGTTAATGAACTTCATGCTGTTCATTGTAATTATGTGTTTTCTTGTCCATATGCAGCTGGTTATCCTTCATAAAGAACTGGATCATGGATGTGGTCGTGAATTTATTACAAAGATTATTTGTGAAACAGTAAGTCGTTGCATTACATCTTACTAATTATTCATTGTGTTTGTCTCTGCAGAGCAGCAAGGAGACGAAGCATGTGGTTGAGAATGTTGTGACTAAAAGAAACCTGAACATAGAGATGTAGTGGTAGCACATCTGTCCACCAAGCCAGACATCAGCTGTTTACAATAACATCTGTCACTTACTGCAGCCAAGGGGCATCTTTTCTTCTTCAGTTAACCTTATCTGCTGTTATTCAGGTTACAACAGATACCAGCATCTTCTGAACCTGATTCATCAGCACCCACAACGTGCGATGAATCAATTCTTTATAACTCCAGCGATGAACTCGACTCTGTTAACGAAGCGTAAGTACTTCAGGATGATAGTGAAAACTGAATACTGGCGCTCATCTTAGTGAAACGTTGAAGTTTCCAGTATAACCAGTCGGAGAACCTAAAGAGGGGCAGTAGGAGGTTATAGATGACTTGCTTCAGAGAGCTTCAGAAGTTTACAGTGAAGGAGGGGGAGTTAGTGCAAGCTGCTAGGACTAGACCCAGCTGAGGATGCTGAAAGCAACAGAAACCTGTTAATTCTTAAAAGCTTCAGCATCACTCACTGCTCACAGTCACTCACGTTCACTGTTTGAGACCAAATGTTACCAGATGGACCTTTGCCTTGTGGTTGTTTTTGTGTGAACAGATGTGATGGGAGCTAATTTTTCACAATTCTTCCAGATTTGACGAGGAAAGTACAGAGGCTCCAAGTGATCAGTCTGCCCAGCAGCATCAATCACATCCGGACTCAGTCTTTATGGTGTGTACAACAACTTCTTTTACATGTGTTTTGTTCCCAGTCATCTCCATGCTGCACTTGTGTCTGATGGTCATTGTGATGATTTAAATCTGGTTTCATTAATTGATATATCCTGTTCAAGCTGCTGGAGGACAACATTATCACTTTTGTGAAAAATGAGCTGAAGAAGATCCAGAAGATTTTGTTTCCAGATAACTCAGAGAGTCAGATGGAGGAAGAGACACTGCTGGGGGGGGAGGGTGAAGAACACAGGAACAGAGAGGCATTGGTGAAGCTTGCCCTGCATTTCCTGAGGAAAATGAAACGGAACGACATGGCCGACTGTCTGCAGAACAGTAAGTAAAATGAGCCTGATCAGTAAATGTGACAGATCATTGCAGTCACTTATCTGTGTTTTCATGAATGAGCAGTTCTTGAAAAGCTGATATCTAGCATGCTAAAAGTTGACAGGAATTGCAGATTGTACTATATTTGATCTGTTTGGGTGCAATTATTTAAAAATTCAGTTCCTGAACCATATACCGATTCTGCCTTTTAATTAGAAAATTCCTCACTTAGCACATTAGCACTGATCACATTAGCAGTTTTGGTCCTAACCCCCCCCCCCCAAAATAACCTAATAACTGATTTCTGTGAGTGTAGAAATTCTCAAATAGGCCTGAGCAATATCATATTGTCTATGGTAATATAAATATAAATTAGTATGTGATATAAGGGTCACATAATGATATAATTTCTACAGCAATGCAATTTAAGTTCCCTAGTGCATGAGACAAACCCAGGCATGTCTGCAAGCAAGCGCTGTCTGTCAGCATCTAATAGCAATATAGTACCAAAGAAACAACGCTGCCCAAAAAATAACAAAGGAACAGGTTAATTCAACTTCTGGGGATTGTTTCAACTGCTTTGATGTTTAAGAAATAACAACACGTGTACTAGAAGGGGAACAATGAGGCAACACCCAAAAGGTGGAGGAACTGACATTTTTCTCTCCTCTCCCCAGTGTTTTTTTTTCACTGGTTTTGGATTTGGCTGGGGTCAGTGTCACTGGTGGTCCATATCCAGACCATTCAGAGACATCCTATGCACTGAGTGGTCTTAGTTTTTTCACTAACTATGGCTGCCCCTCTCTGAACCTGGTTTTAGTTTTTAGTTTACGTCCTGTTAAAAGTGAGCTTTTCCTTCCTACAGTCACCAAGTTGTTGCTCAAGGGGGCCGTTTGATTGTTGGAGTTTTCTCTGTATTATTGTAGGGTCTTTACCTTACAGTATAAAACAGGGGTGGGCAACTCCAGGTCTCAAGGGCCGGTGTCCTGCAGGTTTTAGATGTGTCCTTGATCCAACACAGCTGAATCAAATGGCTAAATTACCTCTTCAACATGTCTTGTAGTTCTCCAGAGGCCTAGTAATGAACTAATCCTTCAGGTGGGTTGAACCAGGGTGATATCTCAAACCTGCAGGACACTGGCCCTCGAGGCCTGGATTTGCCCACCCCTGGTATAAAAATATAAAGCGCCTTGAGGTGACTGCTGTTGTGTTTTGCACTGTATAAATAGAATTTAACTGCTTGGCGGGACCTGGGCCCCCTGGCACTGTTGGGCCCCTGCTGGGGGGTGGGGGGCACTTGGGTCTCGGGTCTGTGTGCCTGGAGCTCAGACTGCTCCGGTGGAGCCTGCGGGGCGCTCCTCTGCTCTTCTCTGAGTGGGGGTCGCGGTTGTCCCTGCAATGGTCGTCCTCGGCCTCAGGCTCTCTCTCCCTTTCCTTCTGTTAACATTTTGACAGTTTCTCTTTCTTGTTATATAAAATATGTTTTATAATGTGATATTATTGTGCAGTTCCTAAATAGTTACAAGTTTTAGTTACTTTAGGTGTTGTTAAAATAAAGTATTTAACAGTTATTTTATACTGAAATTTCCAGTGAAAAAACTACCTGAGCTACATTTATGCTTACGTGTCACTACTATTGTGCTGCTGCTGCTGCTGCTGGTACCTTGTTTTAGTAGATTCAGACTTTAAATTAGGTGGCCTATAATTGGTTACAGTAACACATTCAAAAAGAAGGATATGAAATGCCCTTTATTTACTTGCACTTATAAATTGTGCTGCCTGCAAGGATCAATAAAAATTTCAGTATCTTTTTTTAAGGAGTTTTGTCACATGACACCATGCAGAGGTTGCTCAAGAGTTATCCACCACATTGGACTTGAATCACAGTTGCTATGGAAAAATGTGAAAATAACCTAGGTTACACTCTCGTTCCCAAAATAGGAACTGAACATTTTAGATTAAATGAGAATCTCTTCTAAGAGTATCCAATAACACTAAACGAACATGAAATTATACTGCCCTGTTTTTGTTTGTTTTTTTCAAATTTGTTTTTTTACTTTAATTCTTAAATTACTGGTTCATTTACTCTTTTATTGATAACAAGAGAAGAACCATAACAGCATATTCTGTTGTACTTCATTATATTTCTGCTACCTTCTGAATTCTTCTGCCATTATTATCCCAAGATGGGAAAAGAACAGCACCTACTTTTCACAAGGCATATACAGTACTGTTACTACTGTAAACTTTGTTTGTGCTTTTATTTGGTAGATTTTTGCTCACTGATGCAATTTCTGTCCATTTAGAACTTTTTGCTCCACAATGTCAACGTAAACTTAAAAGTAATCTGAAGGAGAAGTCCCAGTGTGTGTTTGAGGGGATCGCTAAAGCAGGAAACCAAACCCTTCTCAATCAGATCTACACTGAGCTCTACATCACAGAGGGAGGGACTGTAGAAGTCAATAATGAACATGAGGTCAGACAGCTCGCAACAGCATCCAGGAAGCCAGACAGAACAGAAACAACAATCAGACGAGAAGACATCTTTAAAAAGTCACCTGGAAGAGATGAACCAATCAGAACAGTGCTGACAAAAGGAGTGGCCGGCATTGGGAAAACAGTCTTAATTCAAAAGTTTACGCTAGACTGGGCTGAAGAACAAGCTAACCAGGACATCCAGTTTACATTTCCATTTACATTCAGAGAGCTGAATGTGTTGAAAGAGAAAAAGTTCAGCTTGGTGGGACTTGTTCATCACTTCTTTACTGAAACCAAAAAAGCAGGAATTTGCTGGTTTGAACACTTCCAGGTTGTGTTCATCTTGGATGGTCTGGATGAGTGTCGACTCCCTCTGGACTTCCACCGCAATGAAACTCTAACTGATATTACACAGTCCGCCTCAGTGGGTGTGCTGCTTACAAACCTCATCAGGGGGAAACTGCTTCCCTCCGCTCGTGTCTGGATAACCACACGGCCTGCAGCAGCCAGTCAGATTCCTCCTGAGTTTGTTCACATGGTGACAGAAGTCAGAGGGTTCACCGATGAACAGAAGGAGGAGTACTTCAGGAAGAGATTCAGAGATGAGGAACAGGCCAGCAGGATCATCTCCCACATCAAATCATCACGAAGCCTCCACATCATGTGCCATATCCCAGTCTTCTGCTGGATCACTGCTACTGTTCTGGAGGATATGTTGAAAACCAGAGAGGGAGGAATATTACCTAAGACTCTGACTGAGATGTACATCTATTTCCTGGTGGTTCAGTCCAAAGTAAGGAAGATTAAGTATGATGGTGGTGCTGAGACAGATTGTCACTGGGGTCCAGAAAGCAAGAAGATGATTGAATCACTGGGAAAACTGGCTTTTGACCAGCTAGAGAAAGGAAACCTGATCTTTTATAAATCAGACCTGAAAGAGTGTGGCATTGATATTAGAGCAGCCTCAGTGTACTCAGGAGTGTTCACACAGATCTTTAAAGAGGAAAGGGGGCTATATCAGGACACAGTGTTCTGCTTCATCCATCTGAGTGTTCAGGAGTTTCTGGCTGCTCTTCATGTCCACCTGACCTTCATCAACTCTGGAGTCAGTGTGCTACCAGAGGAACAAACAGCATCTCAGACATCTGAAACACCTAAAAATAAGATTGTAAAAACAGACTTCTACCAACGTGCTGTGGACAATGCTTTGCAGAGTCCAAATGGACACCTGGACTTGTTCCTCCGCTTCCTCCTGGGTCTTTCATTGCAGTCAAATCAGGACCTTATAAAAGGCCTGCAGACACAGACAGAAAGCAGTTCAGAAACCAATCAAAAAACAGTCCAGTACATTAAGATGAAGATAAGTGAGAATCTGTCTGCAGAAAAAAGCATCAATCTGTTCCACTGTCTGAATGAACTGAACGACCGTTCTCTAGTGGAGGAGATCCAACAGTCCCTGAGTTCAAGAACCCTCTCTGTGGATAAACTGTCTACTGCCCAGTGGTCAGCTCTGGTCTTCATCTTACTGTCATCAGAAAATGATCTGGATGAGTTTGTCCTGAAGAAATACTCTGCTTCGGAGGAGGCTCTTCTGAGGCTGCTGCCAGTGATCAAAGCCTCCAAAAAAGCCATGTAAGTACATAGACAGGTACACATTTATTGAAAACAGGAAAGCAGGATTTCTTTTGTTTCAGTATTTAAAAATCTGTTCTGTTTTTTTTCACATTCTGTTTTTAGACTGACTGACTGTAACCTCTCAAAGACAAGCTGTGAAGCTCTGACTTCAGTTCTCAGTAACCCAGTCTCTAGTCTGCTTGAGCTAGACCTGAGCAACAACACCCTGCAGGATTCTGGGGTGAAAGAACTTTCTGTTGAACTGGGGAGCCCACACTGTAAACTGGAAACTCTAAGGTATGGATAAATAATATAAATAACTGATATGGTCAGATCAGACATTTAACAATCTTTAACCTGTGAAAAAACAGGTTATGGAATCACAATGAGTGTCATGTGTCCTCCCTCTTTCATCCCTAACTAAGCACCATTACAAATTTTTCAACTCGCGATACTGAAAATAAAAAATGAAAATAAATTGGACTTGTGTTGTTTTCTGGTTCGGCAGACTGTCAGGTTGTCAGATTACAGAGGATGGCTGTAGGTATCTTGTCTCAGCTCTCAACTCTAACCATACCCACTTGAAAGAACTGGACTTGAGCTACAATAATCCAGGAGACTCAGGAGTGGAACTGTTGTCAGATGGACTAGAACATTCATTACGAAAATTAGAAATTCTGAGGTCAGTTCTTATGATTATTTTAATTTTTCTCTTTTTGGTATCTTTGTTTCCTTTTTGAGGATTTTCAGTGTGTGCAAAACACTCTGCTCTTTTCATATTCAATTCAATTCAATTTTATTTATATAGTGCCAAATCACAACAGCAGTCACCTCAAGGCACTTTATATTATACAGTAGATACAGAGGAAAAACCCAACAATCATATGACCCTCTATGAGCAAGCACT